TGCAGGCCAGGCTGGGCCTCAAAAATAGGCAATTTGCAGGCCTCTAGTTTGAAATAAATGAGTAGTTATATATTTATCTTCTCCTCTATTAACAATCAATTCACAATAATTATCTGGCATCTTTCAGCCAGACCAACTTACTGACAGCCTACAGTCTATTACTAATTCTAACCATAACCTAACTATTATCTCATTTTATACTGATGGTTCAGTTATTGAGCTTGGTACCTCTCAATGCTCTATGAGCATAGGTTGAGTTCAAGTAGATAACTCTATAACTACTCATTTATTTCAAACTAGAGGCCTGCAAATTGCCTATTTTTGAGGCCCAGCCTGGCCTGCAATTAGAGATAAAAATTTTTTTTAGGTCTGGCCTGGCCCACATTTAGGGTTATCATTTTTTTGCTGGTCCAGCCTGGCCCACATATGTTAAATTTTTTCTTTAGTCTGGCCCAGCCCAGCCTAGTTTGCAAAAATTTCTTATATAATTTTACAAATTTTTAGGTCTGCACTGGCCCGCAATTATAAAGTTTTGTAAATTTTTTAGCCCAGCCTGACACACAATTATAAAATTTTGCTTCAGGCCTAGGCCAGGCCAGGCTGGGCTGGGCTGCAGAACCCAATGCAGACCTCTATTTCAGACACAAATTAAATTATGGCCATGCTCTTTTAAAACTAAAATTCTTGCTATTTTTTTAGCAATCATTACTGCTTCTAAAAACTGTTCAGTTCATATTTATATTGACTTACAATCTGTAATCTCCAAATATCACAGTATTTGCTCATCAGTTTCTAAACTCTCTTATACTCATACCCCATACTTCTCTATTTGGCAAACTTTCATTAACTTCATTAATTCATATAATATTTAGCTTACTTTTCACAAAGTTACTGCATATTAAGATAATCTATTTAATAATCTTGCTAACCAGCTCGCTCGCAGTCACCAAATATTATCCTTCCTAACATTTTTAAATAACAATCCTTACAACTATACATATACTTTATTTATTGATCAATTTCCTATTGAGATTCTTATTTGATGCTCTATATGTACTATCTGTCAAGCTCATATTATAATACTTTAAACATTTCAACATCATTTTCAACAATGGTCTACCATTGTACCTAATATTAACTGGAAAGCCATCTGGCTTTATATTAAAAAGTTTCTAACTTTGCATATAACTTTTATTCCTCTACTTTAAAAACCTTTTATGTTAAAATTCTTTTAAATAAATTACCTGTTTCTCATATTTTTCACAAATACAATCTTTCTTACTCTTCTCTCTGCCATCAATATAATCAAACTAATTCTTTATTACATTGGACTTTCTGTTCTTCTACTCAAACAATCTATCATTTAATTTCCAATTCTCTTAACTGCATCTTTAATGCTACTGCTCTTGTCATGTTTACTAATTCTGTTTCTAACTTACATTAAGAAATTCTTACACTTAACAGTTTTAAATTACACAACTTTTCTTATACACCATCTCTTATTTCTATTTTATCTGGTTTAGTTTCTATTGACCATATTTTTATTATTCACAATACTTCTATTCCTTACCATACAGCTACCTCACTTTCTATTAAATTTCTTTTTCATTTAAACTAACAAATTTATAAACAAATATGGATCCTATATTGTATTTTATAATCAGCACAGTTTTTAATTACAGCTTCTACAAACTTAATTCATAATTCACCTTCTAATTTACCATTACCTTCTATTTCAATACTACAAATTATTACTAAAATTGATTTTTGAACTATCCAATGCATTAAATATTATATATCTCTCTTATATATTATTACTAATATTTAAATCTAGGTGAGCCTTGGTCACTCTTGTAGGTTTAGGTCACAGATTATATGTCTAAGTCTTTATTCTTTATATGTAATTTAAAAGCAAGTTTTTTTTTATAAAAACTTCAATTAAATTTCAATAAAGTTAAAGGCATAGCCTTACTATTAATATTTAAAAAAAAAAAATTAAATTAAATTATTAAAAATTTTATTAGAAATATGATAATTTTAGTAAAGTGAATAGGTTGTCAACTCTTTAAGTAGTAGGTTGTGAATTCAAAACTTATTGACAGTGAAAATTTGAATAATTATCTATGTAATATATAAATGATATTATAATAATAGCATTTTATCAATTAGTTAAAATAAGATATCTATAATTATAGTTACATTAGCATAACTGAAAGTTATAGAGTATTTGTATAACAAAAGTTATACAGTAAGATGCAAACTATTACTAAATAATACAAATCTAAAATAAGTTTTTGTGACTATATAAATTTGTAAAACTAGAAAAAACTGAAGCCTATCTAGAAAAATTAGAGTAAAAAAATAACATAAATCTTTGACAATACTACTATAAAAGCTAGACTAAAAAAACAGATACTAATATAAAGAAATCAAATGGATAAGAATTTTTAGATAAAAGGTAACACCAACTAAACTGTTATATTAAACTAAAAAAAAAATATTAGGTCAAACTTAATATACTAAAAACAGATCATACTTCATTTGAGCTATTTTGATTAGAAGTCTAAGAACAAAACAAAGATAAACTAAAATACTAAAAATATGTTGTAAAATAGGTATTGAAATACAGTTAAATTCTATAAAAGCTAATCTTATTAATATTCTGTAAAGTAGATAAGTAACTAGTAGAGATATTCTGAAACTTTACAGTTAGATAATATGTTCTGTAATATGTAATAGTCTAATAGATATTTAAAAAAAAAACTAAATGTTAGGTTAAATGACACTTAGTTATACAAAAACCAGATGCTACTTACCTAAATATAATATAGAGATTAGAGTATTTAAATAGATAATATCTTAGTAAATTATAGATATGACAACTAGTATAACACCTTTAAGCAAACTATTTAAAATAATCAAAAGTTATATATATAACTATATCATATTATAATTGAGTACTCATGATATGATATTTCAATTTTGCATTTAAGTTTCAAAAAAGAATATTAATTAGTAGTTAAAGAGTACAAATTTTATAGTAAAAATTGGCGGGCATGTGACTAGTTACCTTATATAGTAAGTGGAATGGCATGTGCTTCAATTCTTAAGAAAAAATTCTATAGTAAATGATTGAAAAATACTCATACCTTATGATCTATTCAACTGATTTTAATGATTTTACTACCATTAGAATCACAAAATTTAGCTCTACAACTTTCAATTAAGCAACAAGAAAGAATTAGTTAATAAAAAAAAAGTTTTATATGTAAGCAAGCCCCATTCCTGCACTATAGAAAAAACATAAATTTCCAATTTCGTTTATTATAAGGATTATCATTTTTTGTTCCCTTTAAAAAAAAATGTATTCATAACAGCTATTACGAAACACCGACTTTCAACGACCAACTATATTATTATATTTTTATATTACAATATATTTATAGTCACAGCCAAAATTTCATCTATGGTTTGTTTATACCAAATTCAATTATTTTAGAATCATTTCCTATTTTTTAAAATATTTTGTTATAAACCGATTAACGTCAGTTAATGTGTACGTACTTTAAACAAAAAATTTGCATTATTTCCATAGAATATACGTATTTCATACCTGTAATTGCATCACTTAATTCAATAATCTTACAATCAATGTTTCACTAATTAATGAGTTTAATGGTTGGTTGGAATATTCACTTATTTTAGTTTGTGAAACACTCGCATTTCTATTCTCTGAAAATTTTATTTCTTCTTTTTCTATCTTTCTAATAATATTTTCGAATCTAATTTTCAAACCCGTTGCTGGATTTTTATTCCCTAAAGATTTTTCCCTTATTTTTGGATCAGAATGCCAACATATTTCCATTAATTCGACTAAATCTTGTGGTGTGTTAATTGGAATCTTTGGACGAAGACCACTTAAAATATCCAAAATGAGATGTTCATTATTTCTACGATCAGAAAATGGTCTACAACCACTTATTACCTCCCAAACAATCATACCAAAACTGTAGATATCTGACGCTTGCGTATATTCTTTCATGCCTCCTAATTTGTCTTCTAATAGTTTTGATAATACTTCGGGCGCAATGTAAGGTATTTTACCACATACTTCTCTATTTTCTGCTATATCATCTATTTTTCCAGACAAACCCATGTCTGCAATTTTTGGTTCTACAACTGATTTGGATCCACTATTTCGTGAAACCATTATTATTTGTCTACCGAAGACAAAAAGACTAAACTCAAGATCTTTAAAATCACTACCACTTGTCATAAGTATATTATCACTGTGAAAATCTCCATGAAAATAATCTTGTTCATGAATATGACTTAAATTATCTGATATTGAGCAAAGAATTTTTATTTTTTCTTCCCATGAAAGAGTCGTAAAATTTTTGGACAAGTATTTTCTAAGGCTTCCTCCGTCTGCATACTCAAAAACCATCATATATTTGTTATCATTTGGATTGTAAGTAATTCCATACGTTTCTATTCCATATTTGTCTACATTATATTTTTTAAGCTGACAATTATAGTAAGCTTCAAACTTGAATGAAAGATAACCGAATTTGTTAATAATATGACTTATTTTATCATTAATATATAGTAATTATAAAAATTATCTTTACCTCTTTCAGAAAATTTGATGAATCATCAAGTTTTAGGCTTTTTAGAGCGACCGTGCAGTAGTGTTCACGAGATGTCATTATCTGTTTGTTTTCACTTATATATTTTCTTTTGCCATCAATCCAAGTTGCAGAATAAACAGTGCCAAAACCACCGTTATCAATACACTTAATATTTTCTAATCTCTCGAAAGGTATCCATTCTATTATTTTGTTATAATATTTTGATTTATTTTGTGCGTTTTTAATAAATTTATCTATTTTACCATTTTTGCTACTCCAATTATGACTTATATCACATTCATGACAAAATGCAAATCCAGTATTATGCTGGCTACATTTTGCACAAGTTCCAAATCCAATAGAAGTTTTCTTATATTTATTAGTTATTTTTGAATTATTCGATTTAATTCCAAGTGCTTTATTTAAATATTCAATTGATTCTTCATATTCACCCAAAGATTGATAAGTTAATCCACAATTAAATAATGTTGTTATATCCCTTGGGTCTAATTTTAAGGATTGATTTAACTCTTCACGTGATTTTATATATTCACCCATCTCATAGTATACTAATCCACGATTATTTAACATTATTGGAATATGTTTCAATCTACGATGATATTCTAAAAATATTGTGCTTATTTCTAGTGATTTATTTATATCTTTGAGCGATTTTTTATAGTTACCCATCAGTAGATGCGTGGCCGCACGATTATTTAATGCTCTATAATTATTTGGACTAATCTCTAATGATTTATTTATATCTTTAATTGAATCGTCATATTTGCCCATTTCGCTATACGTCAATCCACGAAGATTTAGTGCTATAGCGTCATTTGGATTGAATTTTAATGCTTTATCTAAATCTTCAAGAGATTTTTCATATCTACCCATCAGCCTATAAGTTGATCCACGAGAATATAATGTCAAAAGACAGTCCGGTTTAATATTTAGTGAGGTATTTAAATCTTTGAGTGAATATTCTAAGTTGTACATCTTTTGATGAGTTAATCCACGCAAAGTCAACGTTCTTGCATTGTTTGGTTTGATTTCTAATGATCTCCTTAAATCTGAGAGAGATTTTTTATATCTGCCAGTCTCTAAATAATATAGGCTACGAGCATTAAGAGCATTAAGTAACATTGTGCCATTTGGATTAATTTTCAATAATTTATTAAATGATTCAAGCGATTTTTCAAATTCGCCTATGCATAGATAATTTACACCACAAATATATAAAACTAAGTCAGCTGACTCATATGAAACTAAATCAACTGTACCTAGTCCAATTTTTAATAATGCGTCCATATCTTCAAGTGTTTTTTCATATATGCCCATCATTTGATATGTTAACATTCGATTGTGCAATGTATTAAAATCATTGGGTTTGATTTCTAGTGATCTATTGAAATCTTTAAGTGCCTCTTCATATCGGCCCATCTTTTGATAAGTTACTCCACGATTAGTTAATGTTATAGCATTGTCTGGCCTGATCTCCAACGATTTATTCAAATCATCAAGTGATTTTTCGCATCTATTCATAACTTGATATATTAATCCACGGGTACTTAATGAATCTGGGTTATTTGGTCGGATTGCTAACGATTTACTTAATAATGTAAGTGATTCTTCATAATCATCCATTGGATTGGTATTTGAATCACTGAAAATTTTATGAAATTGTTTATAATTTCCCATTGATAAATGAGCAAGACTTCTAAGAACCATGTTATCACTTGAACCAATTGCGTCGTCATCACTTGAATCAATTTCATCAATTGCTAATTTTAATTCCTTCATATGTGTTAGCTGTTCATTATATTTATCCAATGATGTATAAATCAATATTCTTGTATAATTCGCCATAGAATTCTTTGGCTCAATTTCTAACGATTTATTTACATCGGCAAGAGAGTCTTCATATCTACCCATATCATGGTAAGCTAATCCACGAATGTTTAATGTTGCAACATTATTTGGCTTGATCTCTAATGACTTATTGAAATCCTCAAGTGCTTTTTCATATTCGCGCATAAGATAATAAGTTTGTCCACGATTATTCAATCTTGTAGCATTATTTGGTCCGATTTCTAATGATTTATCCAGGTCTTTAAGTGATTCTGCGTATCTACCCATCACTTGATATATAAGTCCACGATTATTCAATGCTATAGCATTATGCGGATTGAATTCTAATGATTTATTTAAGTCTTCAAGTGATTCTACGTATCTGCCCATCTCTAAATATACATATCCACGATTATTCAATATGGTAGCATTGTTTGGGTCGATTTCTAATGATTTATTCAAATCTGCAAGTGATTCTTCGTATCTGCCCATCTTTTCATACACAAGACCACGATTATTTAATGCCTTTGCAAAATTTGGATTTATTTCTAATGATTTATTCAGATCTGCAAGTGATTCTTCGTATCTGCCCATCTCTTGATA